TATCTATTAGCTGTCATTTTCCATGGTGGATAACAAAACACTAACTCCTCATGGGAAGTGACAGCTAGGTATCTCAATTTTCAAAACAGTGGTATGTAGTCATCTGCCATTTTTATGTCATAAAAGTATGATTAAAAAATTCTCCAAAATATTACAACTTTTTTCAAAGAGCCTTTTCCGTAATAAATGTCTCTGTGCAGTGTGGGAAAAGATTTACGAAATCAGTCTTCCCCCTGCATGATGTTGGATGACAGGCCGCCATTTGTCACCGTAAATCAGATACATTTTTCAATTTCTCGTTATTCAACTTATTCTGAATATAAATTAAAAATGCTCTTTGAAAAAATTGAGAATTTTTTCTACTTTTTTTTTTATTATTCATTCATAATTTTTCAAAACTTCTGCATGGTGCAGGACTTAATTGACAATTTCAGATGACGAAAGATGAACAAAAACATCGAGAAAACGTTCGAAAGATAGTACACCCGGGCGTTATTTGCAAATTATCTTGGGAACAAGTGGTTCAAGAGAAAATCGTCACAAGAGCATTCGAATATTAGGATTGCCATAAAATTTCATCCTTCCATTTGTGCCATTCAGCAAAAAATAATAAGTGCCAGAAGGGATTCATCCACGTACTTACCTCGATCCTTCAGCCCCAACTTGGCCCTGAATCACTAAATTAGGGATAATTCGATGGAGCATATACTTACACTGAGTTATCAGTCAGTGACAAATTGTCAGACTCAGTTCTGGCATCACTGCTCAAGCTCTGCAGCTCCGAGTCCTGTCTCGATACTGGATTGTATGACGAATACTGTAGGGGTGCTCGGGAACGCATATGGTATGGACTAGTCGTAGGGTGCAAGTACATTCTAATCAAAGGAACGACACAAAACACCAAAGAAAAAACAAATTAATTAATAAAAAAAAAATCAATTAAAATAATGCAAAACAATAAAATAAAATAAAAAAAACGAAAAAAAAAACTATTATTCCAGTAATGACAGGACAGGATTTATTATTAACTTTGAAAATCTTCAAGTGAAATTGAATTTGATAATGAAGAAAACTTTTATCAATTAAAAAACTCGAAATACTGATTTTCCGTAAAATGTTTCTGTTATATTTTTCATGTTGACTATTTGATATGCCTTTAAATTTATGTAGTATCGACGAATGAGATAATGAAAGATAATAATTAATAATTTAATTCCGCAGGGAAATTGGGAAAGTTTGCATTGCAACAAACACTCCACTGTTAATTCATCATCAAATGAACAATCAAAATAAAATTACTCAATAATAATGATAATAATAATAATCAATCCATAATAATGAAAAACTACATTTAAGATACGAGCAAAAGTGACTAATGCAAAATGCAAATTCTAAACAATAAAAATAAACAGGGAGAAAAAAATTTAAACTCACCCAGCAAGTGCCTCAGTTTTAGGCCTCAGATCCATAGCTCTTGTCTGTTGTGTCCTCATAAGGACATCCCTAGTCAGTCTTAATTCACCCGGTGTTTCACACGCCGAATGGGAATAATGTCCAGCGAAAAATTCAGCATCCTCATGCAGCGTTGGCAGTAAAGCTGGACCACACGATAACGACATCTCCCGACTCGAGCTGGAGCTTGGACATCCAGCTGAATCGGCATTTTGACATGCAGATACATATCCCAAATAAATTTCAGAACTCAGAAAATTTGGATAAATTGTCTCCTTGATAACACGCTCGACCTCGTGCTGCACAGCATCGAATACTGTTTTGTCAGCTCTTCCCTCCTTCACACGACGACTCGCCTCTTTTCGTATGTGCTCGGGGATGGCCAATTGTGTCTTTTGAAGAAATCTGGAAAAAGTGGATTGGAATTCAGTTTCTGTGACAATTTCAAATTTAGTTTTTCCTTTAAAAATTCCCGTCTCATTAATTGTGAATGAATTGAGGGCAGAACTCCTTGAGAAGATTTTTAATTACTGAAAAATATCGTAATTTAGCAGCTCTAAAAAATTCTAATAGGGGAGGTTGGGGCAAAACGGACACTTGTGACTTTTTTTCAAATGTTAAGGAGGGCTTGACATGTTGATGAAATTTAATATTTTTTTCTCTATATTAGGAACAATTCTTTCCCTTTGTGACGAGCCTAACCTGAGCTCAATTGATAAATTTGTTTCTGAGTTATGAATAATTTTTAAAAAGTCTAAAGTGTCCCTTTTACCCCACCCTCCCCTACTGGTTAAATAAAATTTCTGGTTATTTCCTATAAAACTTATAGAGATTTTCCCGTGCTAGCATCAGAATTTTTCTAAAGGATTTCTTTAGATTTGAAAAAGATTGTTCAGATGTTCAGAACGGGGATGTCCATCAATATTAAATTTCTTGAACATTAGAAAGTCTTGCGAATTACAATGATAAATGTTTAAATATACTCATCAAAATTTAAAAATAATATAGTATTAACAGTTTAAATTTCCGATTTATGATTTCTTTTTCTTTCAAGTTTTGCAAATATTTTTTTTTTTTAAAGGAGAATCAAAGTTGGACGTTCAAAGTTTGGGCAATAAAATAATTACAAAATGTTCGGTAGTATAGGGTCAAATTGGGTTTAAAGGACCGCTTTGATGTGAAATTACAAGCAAAGGATTTTAACGAAAAAATAATGGATAAAGGACTCCAACTTCTTGCACTGCACCAATTAGTAGTATTTCAATAGTGAAGCCGTGAAATGGTTCAACTCGATTTAGGTCTCAGCTGAGTTTTTGAGGAATACCTCCGAATCTGAGGGAGATAACGAAATTTTCATTATGACCTTTTTTACAGAGTGATTTGAGGGCTACAAAAAAAGTTTTAACAAAAGTTTTGGTATCTCCCTTAGATTGCGAGATATTCACTGAAAGCTCATGAAATGAAATAATTCTTGTCCCACGGACAATAAAATTCGGCCCCTTTGTAGAAACTCTAGATTGCGTTCAATTGACAAATTAATGTCAAAATTATGAATAGTGAAAAAACAGTGAAAAGTGTTGATTTTTCCCCATCACCCCCTCAATTAAATCTTATCCAAACTCACCGTCTATTAATAGCCTTAATCAACTGATGGACTTTATCCTTATCATGCTCCTGATTGAGTCCCTCGCAGGCGAAATAAAAATCGAGTGGATTGGCGTGTGACGTGCCCTCCTGTTCCAAATACTTCCTAAACAACTGCAGTCCCTCCCTGTCCTGCAGCAACGAATTGAGATTCGTTGCCCATCTGAGACAAGCGGGTGGTGAATTGCTCTCCATAATTGACGAGTCGCAACAGCCCTCGGGTTCGAATCCCATCGGCGCTGAAGCATCGCAGGTACCACTGGACGTGCGACCCAGTAACGAGCGTCTAGGTGTTAGAGCAGGACTCTGGGGAGGTATTCTTCCAATATTGTATCCTCCCGTTTCTTCTCCTGCACAAGGAATCGCGATCTTGATAATTCTCATGAAACCCTAATTTTACACCCCAGCTTTTAACACCGATACATCATTTTCTTTACAAAATTATCTGCATTCACAGCTTCTCTGCAGTGATTGTAATTCCCACATTAAATTTTTTTTTTTCAATTTTTAACGAAATTTAGTGCAAGAAAAATGCACAAAAAATCATTTTCATATAATAGACCATCGCCCGAATTTTACACCCCAGCTTTTAATACCGATACATAATTTTTTTTACAAAATTATCTGCATTCACAGCTTCTCTGCAGTGATTATAATTCCCACATTTTAATTAATTTCTTTTCAATTTTTAACGAAATTTAGTGCAAGAAAAATTCACAAAAAAATCATTTTCATATAATAGACCGAGTTTTCTCAGAATTGACTTTTTTGGGCTGTTGATTTGGCGTGGATCTCCCCATATACATATTGAATTCTACTAAATTGAAATAATGTACCATTCCAATTACACATTTTATAATTCGAACTTAAAAATGTTGAATTTTTTTTACGATTGAAAAAAAAAACGTTTTCTCGTATAAATCCCGTTAAACTGAAGATAATGCTGTCCATGACATTTCATTCCGAAGGGTTTTTCATATTCTTTGAGTGCGCCAAAGGGCTATTTGATAGCTTGAAACCGCGCAGAAACACGAACGCTAATTTGGAAAAAAAAAATTTGAACAAAAACTGCCATTTTCAAAAACTCATAACTCCCTCAATTATCAATATTTTTCCATTTTTCTCCTTTCAAAATCTTTGTCTAATCGCCGTCTCGAGACAAGCTCCCAGCGCAAAACACGTGTCAAAAAAATCGCGGCAAATGTGAATTCTGTGCAATAAATCACACTCGGAAAAATGCTGTGCCGGTGTTAAAGTGTACCGCCGAGAGATTCAAACAAACTGAGCACGCGTGGCCAACGCGCGTCCCCAGTGATTCAAAAACTCCCGCCAGACGGCGTCGCGTAGCGCAAAGTACAGAGGCACCAACAAATCCATCAAGAACATCAACATTTACGCCCAAAGTCCGTCGAACCGAGTGTTCATAATGTCCTTCAGTCATTCGTCCCATGCTACCAATCAAATTTTCCCCCAACAAATCCAAAAAAATGTCTTACCGGGCACTGGAGGCCTTGGAGAGTTCTCATTGAAGCAACGTGCTTCACTCCTCCGACTTCCACTCATCCTATCTGTCATAGCTATTAATTACTATATGTACTTTTATACTAGATTTTAATCCCCTTCGCTTCCTAGTGGACATGGCTAGTCCAAATCTGAAAGCAGAAAAATTTTCATCATCAAACTCCATTCACACACATCTGGGAATCCCCCATTCAGAGAGCCTCTGCTAATTGTTGAAAAGTTGGATTATTTAAAAAAATAATAATCCAATTTTTTCAAAACTTTGGATTCAGTGTTTAGACAATGGATGGATTGATTTCGAGTGGGAATGCACCCCTCTGCGATGTTTCATGCCAGTCTGGCTTTTAAAATGGTTATCGATCCCTGTTACTGCGCAGCAACAGATTTGGATTGGTACATGGTACGTTATAACAAAAGGCCCTCGAGTATTTCATATGAATTCTATGGGTTATGAGTATGAATCATAACCAATTATAAATATGCTCAACCCCACAATATTTCTTAAAAATAACTGGGGTAGGTTCTACCCTATTCCTCCCATACTACTGTACAATGGGTGCAGCATTAATGGTTTTTATACTGCGCAGCAAGATTCATCTTCGATGTATTCCCATTGGTGTACAGAGAATGCTTCTCAGGTCTTTGTCTTGTATTGATCGTCAAAAATATTGAGGCATAATCTATTGAATTTCGTGCTCATAACTGCGGGGGGAGACTCCCCCCAGCAGAAAAACCAGCCCAATGACTTGAAAAAACCGGGGAAAAATTGCAAAAACACCTCCAACATTTTCTAAAGAATATTCTAAACATGCTACAGGTTGTAGATTAGAGAAATACTCGAGGTTTTTTTCTGAAACAAGTGGAGTACTGTTGCATCGACACTGTTGCATCTCACGCTCATCAACCCCTCAACAACCTCATTTTCAAAATAGAAAAAAAAAGCAACAGAAAGAATCAACATACATGCTGAATGAGAAAAAAAATTGAATCAAAGCTGGAGTACGATTGGAGAGCATAAGGCAGGAACAATGAAGGACAAGTACAGTGGATAAAACAATGGGAGTTTATGAATGGAAACTTGGAAATATGATCCCTGGAATTATGATTCCATTAGTTAAACAGAATGCCTGTCATATTCAATCATATCCACTTGGATGGAACAGAGTGGAATTGAAAAATCTGTACCTGTTCCCCAGAGCAATATCAACGATTCCTACGTACCATGATGAATGATTTCTCTTATGTAGGTTTCTCTTCACTAGGACAATTACTCGTATTATTAATCCTAAATGAGACTAAATTGAGACTAATCTTCTTCAGCGCAAGGATCCAGTGGACCCAAAGGACCCTGACTATGAATAATTATTTATAAAATAGCCCAACGCGTTTGGAAAATTGACGATTGATTTTTCAGGACCTAATGGTGATGTGCGATACCGAAACTATCAGTTGAACGGTTGGAATCAAACTGAGCCTGGCCAGCATCCTGGTATGATTCACGCAGAAGCACTCTGTTGAGAGCCAAATGGTCGTCCACAGAGGGAGAATCCAACAATCCCGTCTGATCGATTAGTAAACCACTGTTGTACTTCGTCTAGATTACAGAAGTCGAGGATTTTTTATTACACTCGACTGCTGGTGTTTTTAGGGGGATTTAACAACAAATCTTTGGGTATTCTGGTGCTATTTCTTCCCTATTCAGCTGAATTCATTGATAATCCTTGGAAATTGGGGGGAGAATGGTGCGTTGGAGGGGTTAGAAGGATTCTCGATCAGAATGATTAATTAATAACAAATAGTTTGTTATTTAGGAGAGGGTTTCAATGAAAATTGGGGGGTGCTGGGCTTAACCTAAAAGCTGGCTTGACATGTGATGAGATTGGATCTCTCAATGTTTATTGAATGGATTTTGTCATTTGTAGCTTTGGTTGTGGTGATGACAACTGTTTAAACATTTTTATCGCAATTTTTCTTGGGGAAATCGAGGCAGAAATGAGCGAAATGGTTTGGAGCAGACGTACGTTATGAGGTTAGATCATCTGGAGATTGAATATGACAGTGTGAGGATGTGATTTCACTGAAAAACAAGTGGTAAACAATGAGCAAGTCAGTGGTGAATAAACAAAACAATGAACCGAACCCCAAAACACGAGACACGAAAGCGTCAGTGTAAATATTTAAAAGGCTTGACTATTTAATGATTAATTATGAAGAGGGGGTGGAGATTAGGGGGATGAATGCAGGGAAAGTGTCAGTGGAAACGTCAAATGTGAAATAAAAATGGAAATGTAAACTGTACTGTGTTTATGGTGGCTGTTCTGTTCGGTCGGTTAAATATGCATGGATGCAACAGCTTACGGCAACATCGGTTGATTCGAATCCACTCCTCAATAAGGACGCGCTCACAAAATTTTTTTTTCACCAGCCAAGGGGGTAACTAGTGCAGCCGATAACACAAACTCCAGTGAAACTGGACGGTATCTTCGTGCAGACTCTTTTCACAGACATTTCAATCCCTCGATCTGCACACCATACTGGCAATACATTTTTATGACTTATCGGACAGTTTTCCGTTTTACCGACCAATGTGCACTCTGCCATCGTTCGACTGAATATGGCAACGTGGGAATTGTCTTTTTTTTACGAGGGGATGGAAATCAGGCATCGGTATAATTGAAATTTTGAGTTACAGTTAAATTTGGAATAAGTCAATTGGTAATATTACTCACCAATTTTGTTATTTTATACATAAACATCAATTCAGTGGCGAAGTGATAAAACGGTTTAGGTCAATTTTGACGATTGGTCAGTTTTCAATGAATATCTCGCAATCTAGGGGAGATGGAAAATTTTTGTTATAACCTTTTTTGTACAGCCGATTGAGAGCTACAACAAATGTAATTATGAAAATTTCGCTATCTGCCTTAGATTCGGAAATATTCCTCAAAAACCAAACTGGGAGATAAGTCTACTTAAACCGTTTTACCACTTCGCTACTGAATTTAAATTTCAAATTCCGAATTATTTTATCAACCAATAATTGAGAAATTGAATTACCAATTATTATATGGGAGGGTGGGGTAAAATGGACACTTCAGACTTTTTAAAAATTATTTATAAGTTAGAAACAATCTATCAGTTGAGCTCAATTTAGGCTCGTCGCGAAGGGAAAGCATTGTTCTTTGTTTTAAGAAAAAATTAAATTTTATCAACATTTCAACCGCTCATTAACATTTTTAAAAAGTCAAGTGTCCGTTTTACCCCAACCTCCCCTATTAATTTTCGCATTTCAATTACGATAAATAAATTTAAATTACTATAAGGTGCAACTTATCAGAATATTACTAAAAGTAATGATTGATGCCGATCTGTGATGGAAATTGAAAACGAAAGGTGCAATTTTTCGACAAAATTAGGGTTGAGTGGGGCAAAATGGAAACTTCGAAATTTGAAATGTTAATGATTCATTGGATTGGACAAGTGAAATAGGATATTTTTTCCCCATGAAAGGACGATCCTTTCCTTTTGTGATGAACCTGCACTGAGAAAAAAACAAACAAGGTCTCAAAGAAGTCTTGTTTGAGCCAAGAAAATTGCTAGTTGAAAATAAAAAAATAAAAAATTGTTTGATTAGAATTTGAAAGTCTCAAACATGAATAATTGCTCTGCTTTTGAGAACAACGAAGTATTCGGCTCAAGAGGCGGATGATTCACACGAGACGGGGCTTTTTTAGGATGAAAATATCTCATATAGAAGAAAAGTTTATCAAGAAATATTTTGTCCTTAAGTTACAAGATTGATATCATATCGGCGACTTAATAACAAACAGTGTCGAAATAATTCAGTAGCGGAGTGGTAAAACGGTACAAGTCAACTTTGACTATTGGCCAGTTTTCAATGAATAGCTCGGAATCTAAGAAAGATAGCAAAATTTTTGTCATAACCTTTTTTGTAGACCCGATTGAGAGCTACAGCAAATGTGATTATGAAAATTTCCCTATCCCTCTTAGATTCGGAAATATCCTTGAAAAACTCAAGTGGGAGATGAGTCGACTTAAACCGCTTTACCACTTCACTACTGAATTGTTTTTCTGTAATTGAAGGATTCAGTTTTTGTCTGTGATTATTGAATAGTTGAAACGAAATCGAACGATGAATCCTAGTTTAATCTACAAAGTTTATTGTTACTGTCAATATAATTTCTTTGATAATTCCCTTGTAGTCAAAATTACCATTGAAATTTTTCTCAGTGTGTCCGTAAATCTAGAGACTCTCAGACTGAGGTTTATTACACGTTGAGTAATCTGAATTCCGTATTGTACGATTCAAACTTGTAAATGTTTAATTTATGATGCGCACTTCATGTATGTGCAATTCGAGAAAGACACAAGATGCTTATTGATGAATTCTGGTTTTCTTAAATTTCATGCTGGAATTATTCCTGTCAAGTCGCACGTAACAAATTGAACATTTACGAGTTTCATTCTACTAGATTGAATTAGTAATGTCATTAAGTACATTTCAATTTAGTAGAATTACTAAATTCCATTAAATTGCAATATATTTCTCATTTTTTTCAGAATTTTTTTTTTTTTATAGTTCCAAGGAACTTGCAACGGACTATCGCCCGGGGGCCTTCAGCCAATTTGAAGTATCTTCAATTATATAAATTGAATAAGTATATTGTTCCATTAGATTTGAAGGGGAAATCGCGATGAAATTTGAAAGTTGCAAGCATCTATCATGTAAATGACTTTGATACTTATTTTTTATACTCGAAAAATAAAACAAAATCAAGTTTCAATTTTTTCTAATGATGCACAAGCATAAAATTTTTAAAATAGTCGCATTACCAGAATTTTTGATGGATTGACTTGAATTTTGGTTTCCACACACAATGAATTAACAGAAAAAAATATGAGTTTAAAAAAAAATCCCAATTTTTCTATTTTTTTTTCTTAGAATTGGTAGAGACAATCCTATTTTAGTGTAGTGCAAATTGAATGCTATGACACACCAATGAACTAAAATTTTATTTTTATTTTTTTTTATCACTAGTATGGCAGTTCTGTAAAATGAATGATCAAAAATTTAAAAAAAAACGTAGTTTATTAATGTCATGGCCTTCAG